TCTCCAGTGGCGGTCAAGTAGCAGTGAACCTTTACTTGAACAATGTCCAGTGAATATTGAACAATGGTAGTATATTAGAAAATTAAAATAGATCATATTACATTAAAAACTCATTATATTTTAGTACTATATATGTAAATTTCCCTTTAGCCCTTAAGTTAATGTAAAATTACTACTTCCGCTTTTGAGAATTTATCTAGTTTTAACTTTTTGCACTCAACCATTTTGACATTCGACCTCAAATTAAAGAGAAATTATAGGGCTTATTAATTATATAAAATAATATTTTGAAAATATTGTATAAAATTAATTGTGTATTAATATCAAATACTAGTTTTATTTAATTAGTGGGTCAACTATAATTACAAAAAGTCATAGTAGAAGGTAAAGACGAAGATAAATTATTTTTAGCTCTCAATTTATAGAAATCACCCTAAATAAGAACTAAAACATAGAGAAAAGTACCAAAATAAGATTTTCATGTTTTTTCGAAATAGAACTTTGCACAGTGGTAATGTGACATTGTACATGTGCACATTACTATATTTTTTTGGTAATTTACATGACCATGTTTGGTAATGTAAGTCCTATTTCGGAAATAAAAACATGAAAGTCCTATTTTCGTATATTTTCAATGTTTTAGTCTTACTTTGGTCTTTTCTCTCAATTTAACACCGACATAATGAAAATGCAAAACAAAGAACTGTTCATGGAAATGTATCATAAACGAATGACCACAAACCTACTCTCTCCATAGATCTTCCGTGACAATATTCCCAAATTCAAACTTTATTCTTTTTGTTTGCTTATTTTTATTACTCATTTTATAAAATACTATAGTCTTGTCACCTTTTGTTTTGTAGATTTTTGATGTAGTTTTTTTACTATGTAAATTTTATTTTTAAATTTTTACATCACAATTAAATAAATTCAATTAAAAATAAAGTTAATCAAGCCTCGTAACACATAATGGGAAATCTTTGGTGGACGAATGAAGTACTCCCTCCGTCCCATAAAGTGTTACCCATTTTGACTAAAGTAGAAATTAAGGGAGGGATAATTTTGTGTTGTCTTTCCAAAAATATCCTTGATGTGATAGGTAAAAGTAGGATGTGATGTGTAGATTATTAGAAAAAATGTATGATGTGATATGTAGGGTTTGAAGAAGTAAGGTGTAAAAATGGTTTTTTAATAGAAATGAGTAGGAGATTGTGGGACACAATTTTTTTGAAAGGTGTAAATCTTTTTGGGACGGAGGGAGTATTATTTTGTAATAGTAGACTAATATATAAAACGCCACTTTTACAACACCAATTATAAATTGTTCTCTATTTTATACTCCTTCCATCCGAAATTATAGTGTTCATTCACTATTTATATGATCTAATGTTATTCACTTTTTTTAACTAATTTCACTACATATTTCGTAAACTAACAAAGTCATGTCATTGCTTGTTTCAAATAACTTTTGATGTAATTTTAAAATATGTAATTTTTAGGAAAAATTCACATCTTTACTCCCAAAATTACACAATTTTATATAAATACTCCAAGATTTAATGATGTGAATTTTTCGTAATTTTTATTATTAAATATCACCACAATATTCAAAATTGACGAGTGTACCTAACAACCACCGTCCATTGGCCGCACAACTTTTTTCTTATGTCTACCTCAATCTCCTTCTTCTATCATCAACTTCTTCTCTATATCTTCTGATCTCTTGTTTTTGGAGTTGAAGGTACTCGAAACCCTCCCTATTCGATACAAATTCATATCAACGAGTTTCTTATTTTCTTTCTGGTCAGCAATGTACTTGGGCATCGTTCATAGGTGCACATACAGTCCCTAAAAGTTTATCACAGTTTATCCTCTTTAGTCAAATTAAGCAATACTTTCACTATAAATTAAAAATAACATTTAAATAATTAAATGTTATAAAAAATTTATTGATCAAATTTATATTTTAAGATTAAACCATAGTTTATTAAATTTTCAAGTTACGAAATAAAATAATAAAATTATGATCATTATGATTTACTCCCTTCGTTCTTGAAAACACTTATCATTTTGACCAAGTGCCAAAATAAGGAAGTTTAAATTGTAGTTGACTTCGAATTATGCCCTTGATGTGATGGGTAAAAATAAGATGTGATGGAAAAATTATTAAAGAAAAAATATGATATGATAGGTAGATTAAGAAAAAGTAAAGGTAAAAGTAATTTTTTAATAGAGAGTGGAAGTATTTTGGTGAAAGAGAAAAAAATGAAAAATAAAGTGTTTTTTTGAAACGAAGGGACTATTACTTTACATACTCCGTATTTGGTTATTTGGCCTAGCATTTCAAACTATGGTAAAAGTAACAGTTTACTTATTTAATTTAGTTATTCTCTCTTCCTATATAAATAGAGTTTGGTCTTTGTAATCAGACATGACCTTTAGAATATACAAAATATATTTCTCCTATTATTTTTATAACTATATCAGAGGGTTTGAATTCTTGAGACCTCAAACATGTATGCTTCTTCCCTTGCTGGTAGGCTTACACAATTCGATGCTACCACTGAGAGATATGGTGATCTTTTAATTTTCTCTGATCAGAAACTCTCCCCCACTTAAAAATTACATAGACTACTTCAAAAAAACATTGCTGTTGAAGAATTGCAAAACATCAATTTTGAAAAAATCCCTGATAAGGGCCGTCCTACATAGATAGACAATCCTTTCAATTTTTGAAGGCGGTAAAAAAAATGTTCAGAGTGTTAAAAAAGAATGATGTCCACCTTGTTCGTTTGAATTCGGTGAAGGTTAAAAAAGAAGTGAAATTTGCACTGAATAGGATTAAAACATAAGTCATTTCTTAATGTAGGACTTAAACTTTTTTATTCCTTAAATAGGACTTAATAATGACTGGTGAGAAGAATAATATCCAAGTGATGCTGGACATTTAGTTGAATAATGACTAATAGATAATGACCAATGGTCCTACATTGGGAAATAAAAACATATGGTCCTATATTGAGAAAATCATTATCTTTTAGTCCTATTTAGGTAAATTACCCGAAGGAAAAAATTGAAGTGTCTAGATGACACTTACATAACAACAAGAGCAACTTCATCTGACTCTATTCAAGTATATGATGTCCAAGCTGGGCATGTGGAACCCCATGCTCTAGGTTGATGGGGGTGGGTGTTACGAAATAATAAATGATTTACTCCTTCCGTCCCCAATTTGATTACAAATTGTGGGTTACGGAGTAAAATTTCCTATTTTTTGAAATCATTTTATTTACAAATTGGTATATCAATAAGTTATAAAAATTACATATTAAAAAACTACGTCAAAAGTTCTACAAAATAAGAGGTGACAAGAATATTTTATTTTATAATACTTGATGATATTGCGTAAACAAACAAAAGTTATCGAGAGGAGAGAAAAAAAAATTGTAATCAAATTGGAGACGGAGGAAGTATTACTTTATATATTTGGTTATTTGTTACTACCTCCGTTCCTTTAAACACTTCCAGTTTTGACTTTTGGCAAAAATAAGAAAAGTGTAATTTTGGTTGACTTTCCAATTTTGCCCCTGATGTGATAGGAAAAAGTAAGATGTGATAGTTTGGTTATTAGTGAAAAAGTATGATGTGATAGGTAGGGTATGAAAAAGTAGGGGTAAAAGTGGTTTTTTAATAGAAAGTGGAAGTGTTTTGTGGAAAGTAAAAAAACAAAAGAGGAAGGGTTTTGTGGAACGGAGGGAGTAATATTTATGGTAGAAATAAAATTATCAAGAGTAGAAGTTTACTTATTTTGATATTCTCCCTTTTTATATAAAGAGGGCTTGGTTGTCTATTTCTATTATTATTATTTTATCATTACGATATAACTAAACATACGTTTTCACAATTATTTTTGCTCAAAGTGTAACATATTTTGACTAAAAAAATCAACATTAATTAATCTTTTTGAGAGAAAGTGAGTAAGGGTACACGAGTAGCACATGACATGCCAAGTTTACTAGGGAGTATTTCATGTTTAGCTATTAAATAGCTAAACTCTATAGGCAATGAGCAATTGAAATACTACAAGAATCTAATGGTGGGCAAAGGGGGGATACATACAAGACTAAGCTAAGGGGTAGATTGTGGATTCCCATTTCCAATGGGTACAAAACATAAATAGATCTTTCTTTTTCAGATATATAGTAGCTATATATATAGAGCACTACTGCAGGTGCATATATATACTACCTCCGTCCCACTCTTTTTGTCCAGTTTTGACTTTTGGAACTGTTCATCTAAACACTTTGACTCATCAAATTCTCTCAATGTGTAAGTCTAGAAATAGTCATGTGTGATCTTGTTTGATTTGTCTTAACATATAGATTATTAATATATAATTTTTATAATTTTTTAATATACAAATTACAAGGTAAAATGGATTAAAGAAGTGCATTGGATGGTGTGCAAAAATGAAAGTGGACAAAAAGAGTGGGACGGAAGGAGTATATATAATGGGTGCATAGTACTACTCCTTAATTTATCTTTGCTTATTGAAGGGTACCCTTCATGGTTATCATTATGTTACTGTTTCTTATACATTAGCTATATAGCTACCTAATCCTAGGGTTACTTGCTTATCCTCTTGCCCTAGCTAGCTAGCTAACTAGGTCATTTTTCCTGGAATTATATACTGAGTATTAATTAAACTTTTTTTTTTTGAAAAAAAAAACTTTGTTTCTTTTTCTGGTTTATGAGATCTCATCACTGCAAAGTTTTCTTACATAATTGGTGGTTTAAGATTGTCATCATCAAACCAAAAAGAAATGCACAAAAAGAAAGAAAAAGGTATAGTATAGCTAGGCTCATGTATTAATAATTATTGCTGTCATGCACTGTCAATATAGTCAATAAAAAAAGGGTATTTAATTTCAATTCAAATCCCATCCATCATCATCATCATCATCACCATAGCATACAATAATCAAACACAAAATCCAAAAACACTGATATGAAATTTAATCAAGCAAAGTACTCATCATCATCCATGCCATGCCATGCCCTTTCAAATCTTCATCATTTTTCTACTTGGCTAGCCTGATGATGATGATGACAGGGTAGTAGTAGTAGTAGGAGTAGTACACTCAGCAATGTTAGTAGTACCTCATCATCATCATCTCCTTCTTAACAGTTTCTAGATGATCATTGTTAATGTTCATGCAAGCATTGTTCCCAAAATACCCTTCATTTCCTTGAAGCTGCTGCTGGTCATCACTTATAACACTACCAGCTCCTGCACAGTAGTCAAGAAACAACTTGTGTTCCTGCAAAATCTCACCTTCATCAAATCTGTTGTCAAAATTCCCAAAATGCCCCCCATATGTGGCATGGAAACAAGTGTTCATCATCACCAGCTGCTGCTGCTGCTGATGAAGAAGAAGAAAATCATAATCACCCTCTTCTTCTTTTTCTTGCTTGGGTTCATACTTGGGCTCATTGTTTCCCACATATGTGACCACATTGTTAGTGACCCCAAAGTGAGTGAGATTCAAGAAACCCTGCTGAAGATGGTCTTGGTTTTGAAAGAGGCTGGTAGTGCAAGAATAGGGCTGGTGATGGTATTGATCTGCAAGGGCAGAAAAGGAAGTGTCTGGGGCAGGATTGCAATGAAATGGGAGATGTTCATCATGTTGAAGATCAGGAGGAGGAAAGAGCAGTGAGGAAGAAGAAGATGATGATGATGAAGATTTGGTTGTTGTAGTTGTAATTGATGATCTGCTCTGCTGGTTATTGTAATTATTGTGATTATTAGTGATCATAAGGTTGATGAGCTTCTTCTTGAGCTTTGTGTTCCAGTGGTTCTTGATATCATTGTCTGTCCTCCCTGGTAATTGTGCTGCTATTATTGACCACCTGCATTTGCAAACCCACCCTTTCATTCATTCCTTCATTCATTTTCCATGATTAATTATGCATTTATGCTATATGCTCATACAATAAGACTTGGAAAAGACAGAGTTTCCCAAACAATGTCCAAATTAAAGCTTTATGTGTATGTTGGTTTGGAAGTTTATTGATTATGCACCCCACTCTTTTTAATTGTTTAATTACATATGCCCACACACATACACATATACACACCTCAATCTCCAAATAAACTTGACACAAAATTATCTAAAATTATTTTCAATTCAATTCATTTTACTCAAAAATAAAATTTGCCTAGTACATATTTCCTCCGTATCGCTGAGTATTTGTCTATTTTTTCACTTTTTTTAATCAAAATTAATAAATTTGACTTCAAATTAAATACAAATGATATTAGATATTCAAACTTATTATATGGAACATTTACAAAATATTATTTTATCTAATTAATATACAATATATATTTTATTTAATTATGAGACATGTTGAAAACAGTTAACTGAAAAAATCTAAACTGGACAAATACTCAGAGACGGAGATAGTATATTTTAAAAATAAATAATATTAAAAATTCTATACAAAACAAAAAATAACATAAACATAAATTATTATTATGAAATGATCTATAAATAAAAAAATACTCGCTTGTAATCAACAATGGGCACATAGTTTGACCAAAGAATATAATGTAAATTGAATTTAGAGACTAGAGAGAGTATATGTAGAGATATATATACCTGCTTCCAATGGAGGCGAATAAGGTGCAAATGATTCTATCTTCTTCATCAGAGAACTCACCATGCTTTATGTTTGGCCTAAGGTAATTTAACCATCTCAACCTGCAGCTTTTCCCACATCTCTTTAACCCTAATTTTCAAAAACTAATTAATTAAGCACTACAAGACCAAGATTATATATAAATAGTAAACCATATTATAAGTGTAAACAATATAATTAATCAGCTAACTAGCTAGCTAGCTGCATGCAAAGGATTCGTCACAATAATAATGATATGATTAATTAGAATATATATATGGTTTATTAATGGAAATTAAAAAAAACAATAAATAAATACCAGCTTTGTGAGGGAGAGCAATCCAATTGCCACCAGTGCCGTATTTGTGAATGAAGTCCTTCAGCTTGGCGTCTTCTTCAGGTGACCATGGCCCTTTCTTCACACTTGCTTTATCACAGCAAGGGGCTCTACCCATTATTATTATTATTATTATTATTATTATTATTATTATTATTATCTCTTTCTATCTCTAAATAGGTTTCTTTTTAAATTTGTTCAGCACTTAGGTTACTGCACAGTAAGATATAGAGAGAGAGAAGAAAAGAAAGGGCAGCTAAGAAATGGAAATTAAGAAGGTAAGTTATTATGAGAGTTTGTGCTGTGGGAGAGAGTTGGTGACGCCAGCTTATATAGACGGCCGATGGGATGGAGATTGAGAGTTGAATTTAATGAGGAAATGAAACTTACTCCCTCCGTCTCTGAGTGTTTGTCCACTTTCATTTTTGCACATCATCCAATGCACTTCTTTAATCCATTTTATCTTATAATTTGTATATTAAAAATTATATATTAATAATCTATATGTTAAGACGAATCAAACAAGATCATACATGACTATTTTTAGGCTTACACATTGAGAGTATTTGATGAGTCCAAGTGCTTAGATGAACAGTTCCAAAAGTCAAAAGTGGACAAATACTCAGGGACGGACCAAGTATTAGTCTTAATTTAAGACCCTATAGTACCATGGAAAATGATAGGGTGACACTACATGGGTGCTACCATGGGTGCACCCATGCTTCGCACAGACAAACACAGACGATAATTATCTGTGCGACACGGACAATTATCGTCTATGTTTGTCTGTGCGAAGCATGAGTGCACCCATGGTAGCACCCATGTGGTGGCACCCTAACATGGTCCATAGTACCACACCCCCTTTGAATTGGGCAAGTCCCAAGACAGACTGAACATTTTCATTTGCTCCATTTGTCTACCAAATCACTCATTCTCATGATTATATACACACATATGGAAAAATCTAGGTGTAATCATTCACCTCATGTTTGTGTGAAATACAAACAATTAGTTTTTGTGTGTTTGTGAGAAATTGAAATACAACCCGAGTACACCAATTTTAATATCCCTAACAAATCCATACATTTATACTCTCATTAATATATTGCATGCCCTAAGAAATTAATCTAAATGAGGTTACATATCTATATATCTAAAAGAGATGAAGAACCCTAACCCTAATCAAAGTAGAAAATATAACCCGATGGTTCAATAAAATTGACGAGAAAAATTAAAGAATCGTAAAGAAACCTTGAAAAAGTTTATATTTTCGCTCTTCTAAAAAAACTTAAATTACAACAACAACAATAATTTACATGAACATCATCTGTAAGAACAACACCAACAACTTTAACACGAATATCATCGGGAATACTTACATGATCAATATCAATTTACTCCTCAAATTCCTAGTCACATGAATCACTCTTTGGCACCACACTCCCTACCCTGGCTCTAGAGAACGAAGTTAGACCTGAGGGACTAAGTGTCTAAGCTCACATCGAGGATATATGATGTGGGTAGTGGGTTTGACACCGTGCATGAAGACAAGGGTGCTATAACTAGAGATGAGGAGTCAGCCCACACGACAGATCTTACATCTTAAGTGCATCAGGTATTGTGGATATGGCAAAGAACTAAGCTTGCAGCAAGGTTTTCGTAACAGAAAGCCATCAATCTTTTGCTTCAGTTTTGTGTTTTGCAATCAACCAAAAGCTCAAGATTGTAGTTGTGGCCCAGGATGAGTTGTTTATATTCTAACACGACAGATCTTACATCTTAAGTGCATCAGGTATTGTGGATATGGCAAAGAACTAAGCTTGCAGCAAGGTTTTCGTAACAGAAAGCCATCAATCTTTTGCTTCAGTTTTGTGTTTTGCAATCAACCAAAAGCTCAAGATTGTAGTTGTGGCCCAGGATGAGTTGTTTATATTCTAACACGCTCCCTCACGTGCAGGCGTAGTCTTTTTTTCGAGTCTTGCACGTGAAACTTAAATTTTATTAAAACTGGCCGGTGGCGCTGAGTTTCGAACTCGTGACCTCTTAGTCAACAAGGCTCTGATACTATGTGAACCAACTCAACTTAAAGCTCAAGCTTGTGGTTGTGGCCCAAGATGAGTTATTTATATTCTCACAGGTAGACGTATGCAATTGTTTTCCTTCTAACCTTCCCCATGAAGACAATATTTTTAAAGAGGGGAGAGTGTTATGGATAGAAGAGTATGATATTTAATTATATATTACTCCCTCCGTCCCATGAAACATGGGACATTTGCTTTTTAGGAGGGATTTAAGAGAGTGTATTTTGGTATTGAATTTCCAAAAATGTCCTTTGATGTAATGGGTAAAAGTATGATTTGATGTATAGATTATTAGGAAAAAGGTATGATGTGATAGTTAGGGTATGAAAAAGTAAAGGGTAAAAGTGACTTTTTAATAGAAATGAGAAATGTTTTGTGGGACGGATAAAAAAAGAAAGGGGAAGTGTTTCACGGGACGGAGGGAGTAGTTATTTTTAATTAGTAATAGTATTACTCCCTTCGTTTCAGTGTATTTTTCCAATTTGACTTTTTCAAGTCAAACTTGTAACGCCACGAAACACACCCTAAAAGTTATATTGAATTACGTAGTATTATATAAAAAAATTATTTTGATTAAAATAAACTATTGTTGGGCCTTGGTCCAAATCTAAAGATATTTTGTAATAATTGATTGATATTGAATATCATATGACTAGATAAATCTCCTAAAGATAAATCTAATTTTTTGTAAGTGGGTCTTAAAACGATTTATTAAAGCGAATCATTAACTAGAATGATATGAGTTAAATATGAGAACCTTTTTGAATAAAGGTTAGCTAAATCAATTTCGAGTATGCCAAGTCAAACACCCAAAAATAAGGTGTAAGAAAAAATATTTTAAATAAACACAAAAACTATATAGTTCCATAGAGCTTGATTGACTAATCAAAGTGATATAATCGGATTTCAATTTAGAGAAACTTGGACAAAAAAGTCTACCTTGATTAAAATGGAATTAGTTAAAATAAGATAAAATATCATAAGACTTCCGCCCCCATCCACTTACGAAAATTGATAGGCAAATCCTAGAGCTTCACACGCCTCTTCTCTCCTCTTCGACTATAAATTAAGACATCTCCTAATCTCATTTTGATAGATACCTGGGAATGGGGGTATCCGACCCAACAGAAAAGCGGTCGAGCCCAACCACGCTAAGGCCCACTTAGCTGGATTAAAGAAAGGATAAACGGAAGACCTAGGGAGGCAACCTCGGCAACAGCACATGCTCGGCCTCGGCAGGGTCGGCCGTCCTCGGACCACCCTCTGCTGGCCTTCCACCAAGGTATTTCCGAAGACATAGCATGCGCTCGGCCTCGGCCCGGGATGACAACAGACCATATCCAAACAAGGAAGCTGGCTAAATAGTCAAGATCAAGGGGCCAACGATTGGACCCCTGTCATACCTCTAGCAGAGTTGTTCTAGCCACCTTATTTGTAACCTACTTTGTATATCAATCCTAGGGATAATGATGTGGTTGGATGTCGCCAGTAAACAACCCAATCTTAGTGAACCCAGACTGTTGGACTCTGGACCAACGGTCAGAACCCTTTTGTTATAATTTGCATATATATATAAACCCCTTCCAAAGGAAGGGGAACTTAGGTACTAACAAGCACAATAATACTCTTATTGTGATATTATGTGATAAATTAACTAAATTTATCATGTGATATTATTCATTTTTAGTATGTGTTTACATTATACTTGAACTAATATAAATTTAAAGCGATATAAACTCGAATCTATATAAACCCGAATCAATACAAACATGAATCGATACAAACCCAAATTGATATAAACCCGAACCGATACAAACCCGAATCAATATAAACCCGAATCAAAACCGAACTGAAACCGAAAACCAATCAAACCAAAATAAACCCGGAACCGACCCGACCCGAATCGATTATAATATATATCCGAAAGAGACCCAAACCAAAAACCCAAACCAGAACCGAACCGATTGACCCGATTGTCAGGTCAGGTGTACACCATTGCTCTTTTTGAATAGGGAGAAGTTAGGGGTGGGCACGGTCCGTGATACTACCGGAACCTATCACGGACCGCTATTATTTAAACGGTTCGGTATCGGTACGGGATGAACTCCAAAACCATTTGGTACCATTTCGTTTTGAAACGGAACAGTACAATACCATACCCATGCTCAAACCGTGCCAAAAAAACGAACGTACATTACTTAAAGAATATTGAATTTAATGTACTCCGTATAAATTTGTATAAAAAAGCACAAGCATGTTAAATAAAAGAATTAATTTCAAATTTAAACGGATCATAAACATAAAGAATAAAAGATAACGAGTCCAAAGTTAAAAAATAATTTTTTTTCCCAATTCATATAATATCGGAAAACTAATAACTATGAAAAAAATAATACCAATAGTAATGATAAATATAATAACAACAATAATAATGAGAGAATTTAAAAATGAACAATAAAATATGAAGTACTCTATACACGGTAAGATGAAGTAGACAAATACTCCATAATTATTTGAGATATGTACTCCGTATATAACGTTGGACGGTTCGGTCCGTGATAATCGGTTTTAAATATTTGTATCACGGTCTCGTCCCATTTGGTATCGGTTCGATTTCGGTTCGTGATGAAAAAAATCAATCCAATTTGAAAATACTATAAACAGTTCAGTACCATTACGGTCCGATATGGTACCATGCTAGTTCGATTTTTTTGCCCATCCATAGGAGAAGTATTAAAACGCCCCATGTTGATGAGCTAATCTTCGGAAGGGGAGGAGGCGGAGTCTTCTCGTCTCGTGCTCCTTTTTCCACTTGACTGGGCTCTTTGATTTGGTCAAACAAACCATTAATTAAAGAGCATTAGTTGACCAAGTGAACCTATATGCACTCTCTACGCACAGTCGTTTATGTCCCTTTCCTTTTAAAAACATCATCACATTTTTAATTTTTTTTGGAAAAATTTGTGTTAAACTTTGACAATAAATTATACAAAATAATATTAAGTCATGATATAAATTTAATCAAACTGAATTTATTTTAAACTATAATTCTACAACAACACTCGAGTTGAATCCCTAAATAGCAGGGTCCGGGAAGAGTGTGTGTATGCAGACTTTTCTCCTACTCGAAAGTAGAGAGCGGTTTCCAAAGGGACCTTCGACTCATCACCGAAAATTGCATTGATTGACTAAGTTTTACTTTATCAATTAAAGAAGTGCACATAGTTTAGAAATCTATTTTGCTTTATGTTCGTTTTGTGCACGGAATTGATGAAATTGAAATTGAATTGATAGTTGAAATTCTATGGAATTGATTTGGATGGAATTGAATTTTCCAATTCCAATACACTTTTTGCACTACCAATTCCAAATCTATGTATTTTAGTGATACCAAATAACAAAATTGGAATTGTTGTACTCAATTACAATTTCATAATTTGAATTTCATGTACCAAACAGAGCCTTATTAAATGTATATTCTTTCTGGTCTTAAAACTCTTTCCTGTTTTGACTTTCTTTGTCAAATAGTAACCCTTTTTTTACCATAAATCACGAAAAAAAGTATATTAATTATAATATAAATTCATCATCTTAGAATAAAACTTTGATTTATCAAATTTTTATACTCCACATCATTTATTTATTTAAATTATGTTTAATTTATGTTTAAAGAGGATTACTATTTGACCCATAAAAATTAAAGCATGAAAGATTTTAAGACGGGAAGGAATAATATTTAAGTATCTAAAACTATATTTGGTTTGTAATCAAAACTATTTTTTTGTTGTTTTTTGTTTTTATTTTAATTTTCCATTAAATAATGTGACTTCACATAGATATGATTCAAATGAGTATACTCCGTAGTAAAAAAAGGCACCTGGTGATGGATGGATGAACTGTGGAAAGAGATTTGTATTGTGACTAATGACTGAACCATATATATATAATCATTAGTATCTTATCTGAGTAATAGTAATAGTAGACTCTACTATTATATTTTTCTCCATATATATATTTTCTCTGTCCCTAAATAGATTACAAATTGCGGATTACGAAGTAAAATTTCTTACTTTTTAAAATCATTTTATTTATAAATTAGTATATCAATAAAATATAAAAATTACATTTTAGAAAACTAGCTACGTCAAAAGTTATACAAAATAAGAGGTCACAAAAATATTTTATTTTATCAAATACTTAATGAAATCTCGTTAACAAACAAAAGTTATCGAGAGGAGAGAGAAAACTAATGAAAACAAGAATATTTTATTGAAAACTAATGAAATCGCGTAAAGAAAACAAGAGATCACAAAAATATTTTATTCTATCAAATACGTAATGAAAACTACGTCAAAAGCTCTACATACGTACCTAGGGGCGGAAGAGGGGNAAAAAAAATGTTCTAAAGAATCATACCATTGGCTGAACTGGGTAAGGTTGTGCAGCATAAGGCTGTGTATCGTAAGGAGCAAATATGGGTCTGTAATAAGGATCTGGATATGGATACATCATCTGTGCCTGCAACATACACACACAAAAAAACCATTTTACTGTGGAAATACATATAGGTTTATTATATTCTTATGTTAAACATTTAGATATAAACTAATAAATATATTGCATTATTCGGATTAAGTCTAAATTATAGGATGTTAAGATCTAAAATTTGAAATATATATGTTAAATGATATTTTTTTTCAATGTTTCAATTTTTAATAGAAAATACTAAAAAATTATATAAAAATATTAGCCAAGCCGGGTTCAACTCGATTTATCTAGTTCAACCCAGTTTATCCAGCTCATCAAGAGATCTATCTAGTTCAACCCAGTTTATCCAGCTCATCAAGAGATCCACTTGGCATTTCAGTACTGGATGGACCATTTGCTCTGATCTGGTTCTGAAGATACCGGATAATGGTCCTTCTAGATCCATAAGAGCTGGAAGTGTTGATATATAGAATCAACTCTTTTCTTAGAGTTTACACACACAAAATGAGCAAAGCTCCTCTTGGATCAGTAGTGTCTCAAGTTCTCAATAGTTCATAGCTCAAGTAGAAAAGTCCCCAGCATTCTATGTACTCTTTCTTTTATACAAGCATCCTATGTACTCGGCTTCTTAAAATTTAAACTTCAACAGTTTTTTGGCTGCCTTTGTTACCCAGGAGAGGAATGAACATTCTAGAGATGTGCGAATCTCTCAGGAGCATTAGAAAGTCTGGAGAACACACACTCATTCCAAGTCTGTAAAACTCTCTTCAATTTTTCTTTCTTTTCTTGATTCGGTTCTTCGAAGCTCTTGTTCTGTATAACTGGTTTCCTTTTTTCTCTTTCATATTTTTCCAATTAATTTGCCTTAAATTTAGCATTCATCTTCTCCCAATTGTATACTTTTGCATTGGCCTAGGGGATGCTGGAGCAGCCACTTGGGCCTTTTTGCAACAATGATAAATCTTTACAGATGAAGATTTAGTCTGAAGGGAATTCAGAATAATAGTGCTTCAGTGACATTTTTTCTCTAGTACGCAAATTTGCAAATGAATAAGGTTATTCGCTTAGGACCAAAATCCAACAGCTTAATAGGAATTCCAAATGACGATATAACAGCTCAAAATAATGTTAACTATGATAGCATGTTTTTATAATATACCATAGGATTTCCATTTCCATCATGTGGAGGCATTGCATAAGCCAACGGTACAATGACTCCAGGGTGAGGAATCAAATCTGATGAAGACTGAACTTCATGCTCTGAGTTGTTTTGATGTTGTTCCTTCTCACTATTATCTAAAACATCATCAAACAAACAATTTTTAGAAATTTGTCGAAGTTCTCAGAAGGGAAATAAAACAGGAGATTAACAGCACACTATAACATTCAACTTCCTTTAAAGAAAAAGATCAACCCTACAACAACAACAATCGAGTATCGAGTTAGATCCCACGAGAGTATGGTCTGAGGAGGGTGCACACTAGAGACCCCAGCTCGAGTAACACAAGCATCATAGTGAGCACCGAAAAACACAGAAAGCACAGAGCACGGTATAAAGTAAAAGAGCAAACTAGGTTAACAAAGGGAAAAAGCAACAAGCAAAGAAAAGGCTGAAAAGCACAGAGCGAAAAGTGCAGAAATGGCCTAAGGTCAATTTTTGAAAAGGAAATCACGATCTTCAACAATTACAACTAGTATAAAAACTACGTGCATAATACAGAGTACTTGATAGGTGGCATTACCGATGTTGTGAATGGTTACATTGTGGAATATCAGGAAATATTACATATGTAATGATGCAAACTACAAAACATAGATGGCTTAGACTTTAATATAATTTAAAGAGTCCACTTGAATAAGAACACTAGTCTAGCAACTTCAAGATATAATTTGTGCTTTATGCTGAGAAGAGTCTCAAGTAGACCCACTGACTTGCTCTACGTCATCCATGGACTATAATACAACTCCCTTCATTGAAAAACCTTCTTCCCACTTACCATTTTAGCTCTACCAAGAAGGATCATCCCAGGGATTCTGGATGGGAAGCTCACCCAATTTCGAACACCAGCGGGGATGTTGAATCTCTATGCTTTAGTAAGTTGAGAGAGTATGTATGCACGGATACAACATTTTAATTTAGTCAATAGTACTAAAAAACATCCTCCCATTGTACGGGTTAGAAATTTTGGACCAGTAAAGCGTCACTTTCACCCTCAACTACCCAATTTAAACCCTAGCCATTATTCTCCAATAAATTACCCCACTAATCAGAATGTCAACCTAGGCTGCGTTCGTTCGCCAGCTCTGATCTAATTTTTTGAATATCTGATCTGGTCTGATCTGATTGCAGTTATAATTAAAGTTGTTTCTGGTCTGGTCTAATTATAATAAGAATAAGTAATAAACAGAAAAAAATAAGTTGAACGGAATGCTACCCTAGTCTTGAAATGTGTGCCATTTTCAAATAATCACATGGGAATATGATTTTACATGGGAGTATTTGCTATGGGCCCACCACCATGTCTTGATATAAGCGAATCCAAAGTCATACCAATATATTCTTTCCGTCCCAAACTCATCTCCCCATATGAAATAATAAGAAGCTTAAGAAAAGTAAAATTGTGTGATTGAAGTTCACGTAGAGGAAGAGATGAGAGAAATAATATGAAACACATAATTCTTTCCTTAAATAGGCCGACAAGATCATTTTGAGACAAAGGGAGTCTCCCTTTGTCCCATGAAAAGAGCCCACTTCAAAAATACTTTTTGTCCAAAGAAAAGAGTCCAATTTGAACAAAAACACTAACTTTGATCATATTTAGAGATTTTTCTAAACAGGTGTCCGAAAAGGCCGAGCCTGTGAGATTCAATATGAGGCAGCACCACGAAGGACATGGGTTGTATCTATGGGCATAGTCTATGGATGACACAATACTGTGGTAGATTAGACTACCTAACAAAATTCTCTTTGCAAGAACAATTTGGACAAAAGAACAAGCAGTCGAACAATAGCACGATAATTATTGACCCTTCAGAAATACAGTGATCGAAACTTCGAACTTGATATCAGCTAGCAAGGTGGATGGACAATAGTCACTTGATTCATATCATTGATACAATTTTTATAGAAAAAAGCATCTATAGCAAAAAAACACATCATTACAAAATACAAATTTGAAATAAAAATATGTGAAAAAGTCCGCATTTCTATTGTGGCATAGTACATGAATAAACCTGAATGGTCATGACCTGAGGATGAAGTCATGTTGATTGCTTGCACAAAAATAACCCTCACACAGAATTGCAGACCTAGCAACACAAACCAAACAAAGGTCGGGCAACAGTATCAATAGAAAGATAATATGTGAACTGAATGTTTGAAATTAGACCCTCGATTATCAAATTAACATAAAAAGGACAGCAAAGATTTCAAATTAGGGTTTCGGGTGGGGAATTTTTTAAATTTAGTAAATTAACAATTAAAAGAAAACCTTTTTGAAGGAGCTTACTTTATGCTTTGCCCAGGAACCAGATAGAATCAACCATTTGAATTCTCATTTCATTTGAATGATGTGAACACAGCAGATTACAGAAAAGACACTCGGCTTTGAATTGCTATATACCACGAAATTTGCGTGGAAAAATCAAAGATTCTATCACTGATGAACTGATACCGGAAGCTTCTTCTAACCCTGCTTATTCCGGAGTAGAAAGAAATTATGGAAAAGAAAAAAGAAAAAAAAACAGAAGAAGACAGGAGTGTGTGGATTAGAGACAGGCAGTTAAATCTGAGCCAGAAGTTTTCTGTTGGGCCCCCTTTGTCATTGGAAGTTCTTTTACCAAAAAAACCCCGAGGGCCTTGAGCACTTGCCATTAGCTGAGAGAAAGTAAATTCAACTATATAGTTACTTTTCATTGCAGTCATAGAGTTTTAAATTTAAAATCTCTCCCTTTTAACACTCATATGACAACTGCTAAGCTACGCCTCACTAGCGGAAGAAAGTCTTTCGCGAAGTCAATCATCACAGTTGGCTTACGAATTTTGCAATTGTCAAAGTTTACCAATAGCCCATGATTCATGGCAAGACTTACCCGAATTTAGACCCGACTCTGAATAAAATTAACATCTTTTTAGGGGAGTTGGGTACTTGGGTTTAAAGAAAAAAATTTGTTTAGCCATACCAAGTTTAGACCCGAATCCAATTAAATTTAAACATCTTTTTAGTATAGTTGGATACTTTGGGCTCAACTTCAATCATAAAGAATATCCAAGTATCTAACTATCCATTATCTATATATTGAAAAATTTGGTACCTCTAAAATATTAGGCCCGGTTTGGTAGGACTGCTCGACCACCCTTGGTTAGCCCTACTTCTTAGGGTAGACGATTGTGTACGGTCTCTGAAGAATGAAGACTGAGAAAAGAGAAAATGAAACCGAATTAAAACAGTTTATTCACTTTTGGTCTTTTTGGTTCAATTTTATTTTAAACACATTTTGACTAGGTTTGATTTGATTTTCAGTTTTTGGACTTGCCAAAATGACACTAATATGTTGTTATAAAACTAATAACAAGTATGATAGCTAAGTTGGCAATGTACTTGAGCCTTCTACTTGGGATTAAGGGTTTAATTATCACCCTTAACTTATCTTTTCAAGATTTTCCAAGTTAAACCAACAAATAAAATGCATATTCCATTTCTGTCATGAAATGCATGATTAGATTTCATGAAAAAGTATTTAGTAATATAATGAAATAGATGAAAAAAGAAAATGTGAAATTATTTTGAGATGGAGTCTAACCAACCCATTCAGACAAAATGTTCTCAAAATAAAATCTTTTACTATGAAATATGATGTGATAAAAGTCACTATCCTTTACCATGAAATATAATATGTTTTTTCATTTCACTTTTTCTAATTGTACAATAATTTCTTTTTTAATTAATTTTAATGATATTATATTGTTATTACCTTTAAAAAAAGTACTCTCTCCGTTTCATTTTAAGTTAAACGTTTATTACTATGTAATGTTATTAAACTGAACATTTTTTTTCAATTAACAAGTACTATCTAAGTAACTAGTTCATCTTGAAAAGTAATTTGGGAAAAATACATAGTCATTGATTACTGCTTTGCAATTTACTAAAACAAAATAGTCATCATTTCACATCTTGTTTCATAAAAGTCTTGATGTAATTTCAATCAAACATAATAAACAACCGGAGACTTAAAATAAGACAGGGCGAGTACATATTCAGGGATAAGAAGAAAAACTCATTTCTTTATTATTAATATCCAACTGAAACATAATCCATTTCATGATTCAATAGTTCAGGAGAAGAATTTATTCATGCCCAAAGGCAAAGGAAGAAAGGAAGCTGGAAAACAATGCAATCCAATCTATATATATATATACACAGAGACATTATTATTGATCAAGAGGCATCCACTCTAGTTCCAGATCTATCTCTCCTGATTCTACATTCTGCAGCTTGAGCTTCATTTCTTGTTTCACCTTCCCATCAACAATGTTTACACAGCTGTCCTCGATTAGTGCATTGTCCGGCGATTTCAGCCACTTCCCTATCTGCATATCGCTAAACATTTCGGGATCACCAAATCCCAATGCAGAGGTCACAAGAGACTGAATGTCAATCTCGGCCTCCCCCATTATATCGTCTGCTGAAAATGTGTCATGATCAAAAACCTCCTGGAATGTGGTATAAATTTTAGAAGGTTTGACAAAGTAGAATCTATCCAAAAGTTCATAGGAAGTACAAGGGAAGTTAGATGTGCCATTTTGATTTAATCTATCAATTTACTTGAAACCAAAACATTGTCAATAATGACTCCTAGCTCATTAGCAATTGATGAAATGAAGCATACTAAACTAACTGTACAATATAAATATAAAAGTTGGGAGGCTGCAAATGCACTTATTATTGGACATGTCCTTGTACCAAAATGCCGATGTTCATAAATATTCATATAAGCTAAACTTATAAAATCAAAAGTCAAGTTGAGTGATGATCAATGCATCATTTGGAAACCTAGATGGAAAATCACATAGAATAAAAGTGAGTAAAACTCACTGTTAAAAGTCATTGAATTAACAGAACGATATTAACACGCATAAAAGAAAACAAAAACATGATGAAAAAAGAAGATGAAGGAAAACTATTACCAGCTTTAATGGTCCATAATCTTGAGGAACAGAAAGCATGAGTTCCTCATTCCAAATAGGATTCAAACTGCTCTTCATCACAGTGGTTTGTGCTTTCTGCGAAACAAAGAACCAAGTGTGAGAGAGAGAGAGATACATGGATTGATGAAAACAGTGGTGTGGTTCAGATTTCGATTCTAGTCTTCACAAATTTACAGTATACAGAGATGATATGTAAAACAAAACAATAGAACACTAACATGCCATGTAACTATTAAAACAAAGGTAGTCAAATACCTATGCAGCCTATGAAGTTCATATAGCCTGTAAGAGTCAAGGTATTTTGAGTAATATCCTGTGTGTAATTGTTCTTGTGTGTGTCCGTGTGTAACAGGTGGAAGTAATTGAGAAAAAGAGAACCACAAAGAAAAAGAAAAAAAGGACCTGTTGCCCAAGAGTCAAAACAACATATGGATCACTCGAGAACATGTCTCGGACAGCTAAGTTTGTGCCTTTCATTACTTTAATCATCAATACTCCAATGAATTCCACTAAACCTTCCTGTTAGCAAGTTCAATGTAAGCTGCATAGGCGTGACCATGTAAATATAATGAAATTAATGCTTTTAGAATCATTTTAAAATTAACTCCAGGAATCTTCATCAATGTTTACTTGTCAAAAGAATCCATTCAACCAACACAAAAACTTTGCACATCTCCATATATACACAAGCAAGAACTTACAGATTTCTGTGTTGAACTTGAACTTCGAAAACCATCTGCAGGTGGAAGAGATTGCCTTTTTTGTTTTGATGAAATTCGCAAACTAGGCTTTAAAAATTCCTGAAGCTCATATTTAGACCTAAAAAAAGGGACATATTTGATCAACAGACAGAAAACTGGCTACATAACATGTTTTATGGTTGAGATGCAGTTTTTGTACTTATACCATACATCCCGTTGTATGGTGTTTCCCATACATCCGCACAAGTATTCATTCGAGTAACTGAATACTCATTTTCGAGCATAACTGAATTTTAGAAAAATGATTATTCAATTACTCGAAAATGAGCATTCACTTAACTCGTAAATGAGTACTCGCCGCGGATGTGTGGGAAACACCGTACAACCGGTTGTATGGTATATATTGTGTTTAAGCATTAGCATGAATTCAAAGGTTCAAAACAAATGATTTTCTTTTGGAGTTCAAAACAACCTGTTAATCCTAGCATGTCTTGTTGTCTTGCACCCTAACCCTAGTGTTGAGTTCCATATTTAGTGAGTATATCACATCAATTGTCCACTGGTTTGAGGCTTTGAGCCTAGTATAAAAGTGTGAGTTAAATCTCATCACTTGAGAACCGTTTTAAGATGAATATAGTTCCAATTTCACATGATATCAGCATGGTCCATTAATAATATGTAGAGTACATGCCCACTCGATAGTTTGGGGGAACCCATTTTGGGGGCAGATTTGGACACATTTGTAAGCCCCATCTTGAGTGTCTACTGCATTTGAAAGTAGTATAAGCCTAAGGTAAATGAACAGTAGTGATGATGAATAATGATACAAAGAGAGTAAATTTAGTCTCTCTGAGGGGTACATCTTTTTTCAGGTTCACGGACCATTGAAGTGTTCAATTATTAAGAACAGATACCTAATGAGAGACATTAGACATGAATAATTAGTGTAGTACATGTGCAGCAAAATTGAAAAAGTAAAGAAGATGCATCAGCAGAAAGGTTTTCCTGATAAAAATCCAACCTGATAAATGAAGAGCGCTGCTCATGACCTGCATCTGGAGTAGGCTTTGAAACTCCTTCAGGGATATAAGCTTCATAAATTGAATTTGCAGATGCATTTCCTCCAACCTCAACCATTCCATCAACTTCATCATCTGACCATTCATCTAGAGTCACAGACAAGACCTGCAAGATTGAAACCGTAAGATGGAAAAAGACAAAAACACAAAGACAAAGTGACAAACATATACTCGCTCCGTCCCCTTTTTATTTACCCTCCTTTCATTTTGGCTCACATTGATTCTTTCCTTCCTACTTCAAGGAATACCAAAGGTCTATTTACAAATTTAAGGACGCACAAAACATATTTCTCTGATTTCATGAAGTTCCTCAATGCAATAACGTCTCTTTAGTTGATTCCTTTGGGATCGATATCATACCCTTTGAACTTTCTTCAACCACCTTTCTATTTTTTCTCATTTGTAAATTTTGGGCACATGCACCCCCTAAGCAAATATTTAGTTCACTAATGAACAAATCCTCAGTCAAACTGCCAAATTTGAATGCTAAGTTGCATGTGTTAAGCATGCAACTATGCAAACCATGTGTACGTACACACTACGAAGACAAGGTTTCACCTTTACATCGACAGGATAAAAGCAGATATCATGTTTAGTCACAGAAAATGAAGAGAAAAGGGGAACAGATAGTAGACAAAGGGGGCTGGTTTTCTGCATCTGAGTTTTCTGATTTAGTAAGCTCTAG